ACTTAAGCTCATATGTGAGTCAAGGCAGGTGAGCAAATACTTTTGGCAATATAGTGTATGTTAAACCTAAATCATAATGCAAACCCAAGAGGTCAATAAAACATTATTTAGCAAAATATTATTCTATGAAATGATTTACCTAAAACAGAAATCAGAAACGTTCAGCCTCTCAAAACCCACCTGGTCACTGGCGACCGGTTTTAAAGCGTTTGCAACTAATAACTCAGAATGCATGAAAATTCCAACGGTAATACGTTTAGCAATATAGACATGTTAGACATCGTTGGAAAGCTCGGATTCTCCTTAATCCAACCACCGGGGTTATTTTATGAACACAGTGAGCACCAAAGCACAGTTAACACAAATATAGCAGAATGTCAAAATGTAAACATGACAAAGCAGCCAAAGCAAGCAAGCATGACTATTACTGCTGTTCAAAAAAACACCTATTATTTTCAAGAGCAAAATAAACAGCTTTGAGTCACGTTTGAACTGATGCAGCTTGGGCTGTGTTTTACTCACCAAATATTAATGTATATATTTAGAAACTAGAAAGTGTTAGCTTTCAAATAATATATCACACATGCTTACAGATCCTACGTTATTTGCTTTTGCATTTGGGCATGCAGAATGGGTGAGAATCTCCCAAAATGAGGTGGATGTTAGGAGGTTAAATGACTGGTTCTTAACCTTGTGGGAATTTTCCTGAGGTAATATCAGCAGGTAGGAATCCTTAGCAGAGGGTTTAGCATCTGGTTAGCCCTCATGCAGTCAGTGGCCAACATTAGCGTTTCTGGTTGGTTTTCAGAAGATGATCATAAATCTTAAAATTCAGGATTTTTTAGCTGGAAATACCCTCCTTATGCGGAGTGGTGGCCTAGTGGTTAGGGTATTGCGCTTGAATCCCAGAGGTTCTGAGTTGAAGCCCCACCACTCCCACAGACTGCCACTCTGGGTCCCTGAGCAAGACCCTTAACCCCCACACTGCTCCGCGGGTGCCGTACATGGCAACCCACTGCTACCCAAGGGGATTGCTTAAATGCAGAGTGAATTTCATTGCTTTGTACTTGTGACAGTGAAAAGACAATAAAGTTGAATTCTTCTTCTTCTGTTCCTTATATTTTGCCAGAGCCCAATATCTCTGTCAATCTGTGTTTTTTTCCACATAAAATATGATCTATTAATATGATGAGATGTTTCTTTATTGCAGATATATTACAATAATTTGTGATTTGATTCCCAAATTTTGAAGGCTATGTAATATTGATAGAAATGATTTAGTGATAAATCATTTATGTTATTAAAAATATAAAAACATAAATAAAATAAAATAAATAAATCCTTATTGTCCCACAGTGGGGAAATGCACTCTCTGCATTTAACCCATCCCCTTGGATGACAGTGGGCTGCCATTGTGCGGTGCCTGGGGACCAGTGTGGAGGTTGAATGTATAGTATATACATGTACATATACATATATGTACAATATATATAGATATATATATTAACAGATGCTTAAATTTAATGAAAAATTACTAAAGTCTGAAAAGTCTGTATCCATTCGATAACCTGTATCATTTTTAATGCAGTGTGGATGAAAAAAATTAAAAATTTTTATTGACATAAAAAACATAATGTTTGTTTTTTTGTATTTAGCGAATAATTTTAATAGTTTCTATTATAAATCCATTTTATTTGAAGTAACTTACATTAACTTATTGTTGAGATATTTTGCAGAACATTTATGTAATTCTCAAAAAGTAAGTATTTATGAATTTGTATCATAGTTTTTAGAAAAATTTTCGTTTTTTTTTTTGTTTTTTTTACATGGTTATATCTATAGTAGTAACACAGGAGAACTAGGAATAAAGAAACGAAACAGGCACACCTTATCTATTGAGTAATTCTATTGGCTGGAATGGTTGCTAGGCAATGGTACGCTCCAATCTAAGAAAGAGCAAACAGTGTTAGCAGCAAAGACACGTTTTGTAGAACATTATCTTCAGTTGCTAGACGATGATCCAGTTGTCTTTAATATTTTAAAATTGTCTGAGGTATAATTCGTTTGATGTGCAAATAATCTAGAAATCTGCACAAAAAACAAAAAAAAAAAACCCAAAATCAAATATATGTCTTTAGTATGGATACCATGCCAAAGGTGTTATATCCAGATACAGCAGTAGTACAGCAGTAGATATCTTATTTTTTCAGGTTATTCAGAGGATAACAGCTTAAAGTTAGAAAGAAGTCTAGAAATATTCAATTCATCCCCAGTATCTCTAAATTTGTCTCAAAGCGTTGATCAAGCCACAGGTACTATATACCTATATACCTATGTATTACTTTTAACACTAATAGATCATGTTAAGCACTGTAGTGAAAATAAGATGACAAATACCAATTAAAGTAGTGATAATAATAATAATAACACCATATATTGAAATAAAATCCGGAGCGTTGTTGAATGTGTAAGAAACATGATGCTCCCCTCATGGTTTGATTTGGCTTTTCCTTTCTAAGGAAGATTCTCTGGATCCAGAGGATCTTGAAGCTCTTTCCATCAGGTCCTCTCAGATCTGTAGGATTTGACGCTTCAGTTTTCCTCCTGGTTTGTTCGTTCTAGAGTATACTTTACAGATTGGTGGAGGGAATGATCCTCTCTGATGCTGATCCAGCCGCAGTTGTCCTCCAGCTCCATCCATGCAGCTTGTTTGTTTTTCTGTCTGCCAGGTGTTCCAGAAACTGTCCGAGGAAAACAAAGGTAAAGTGCACGTGTTCTACTGCGGCGCTCCGGCTCTGGCTAAAGTCATCAAAGCTCAGTGTGAAACGTTCGGCTTCAACTTCTACAAGGAAAACTTCTGAAGACGTCTGCTGCAGCTCTGTTTGTTCTCACATCTTCATGAAGACCAAACCCGACAGAAAATCTACTCAAGGAGCCTCCAGGAAACGAAGGGAGCAAAATGGTTCCCATGATGTAGGACTCTAGTTTAGACTTACAGTCAAGTAATGTTAGGAATTCAATGTTGGTTGGAAGTAAAGGAGACTGGGCTGTAATCCAAATGTCTCTCTAATTAGCAAACGTTTGAATTAAATGTCTTTTTTTATTTTAGAAAATGATAAAACCCTGAACCACTAAGCTTGTCTGTGTTGTCTGATTAAGTCATTGAGGAAGTCATCTTCATCAGTCCTGTTCCATCATCTTAGTTTAGCGGTGGTCAGCTCGGCAGGATAAAATGTTGTCAAGGAGCATTTTTCCAAGTTTTTCATCTTTTCAGCTTCCCACTGAGATCCCACAGACGGGATCCATTTCAGAAGCTGAACTGAAAACGGTTCATTTAGGTCCGTGACTGATGGCTAATAAAAACAAGTAGTTTAATGGCTTCCTTCAGCTCGTCCGCATTGTGTCTCATCTTCCTCTTGATGCCAATCCTCAGAGCCTCCATGCAGTTTAGATCGGACCAGTTTACTGGCCAGTCAAACACAGTAAAACATCCCCTTTACGCTGAATGGGCAGCACCTGGAAGCATGATGGAAGGACATGAGAAACTGGAGAAATATCAAAGGCCTTAAGGAAGAACACAGAGTCCTAAATATTCATATATATCACCCATTCACCTGCAACTGAGACCAAGCTTTCTGAAACTGCAGCTCATTGTTTCTTGAATCCTTTAATAGTCTAGAGATTTTATTGGACAGATTTAAAACGGATGGAGCAAAGAAGCCCAGAGCATAACAGAGCCTCCTCCATGTTTGATTGATTCATTGATTGACTTTATTGATCTCACAGTGGAGAAATTTACTCATTACATCAGCTCAAATAGTCAAAGGAGAAGAAGAAGGTTCCAAAGGAAGAAAACAATGCATGGGAAATATACAGTATATACAGTGCATCAACATATGACAGTTTTTTTTTATAGTAGGATCATTATACCGGGTTATTGCACAGGGTGTTTACGTGGGTA